TCATACAGTCATGCACTAAGGCATTCATTCATTGACTCAGTTCATCAGTCATTCAGTCAGTTGCTACACTCTGTGATGTGCCTATTACACGGAAGGTGTTTCATGCCTTCTAAGCTCCAGGATATACAGATGAATGAAACCCAACCCCCTGCCTCTTCCTAGGGAAGTGACTGGAAAGCAGGGACAACACCATGCAAATGAATAATAATTAGAAAATAGATTAATAAAAGTTGTAAGGTGGTGGCATATGGTGCCACAGGGATATGAGGGAGGAAGGAATGAGTGGCATGTAGGATTGGGGATACGAGAAGTCTTCGCAGAGGAGTGGAACCATTGAATCAAATCTCAGGAGTCCACCCAGCCCAGGTGCAGGGGAGGAAGGCTCATTGGCCCAACCCCTGATGTGTTTAAGTTGTGTCTTAGGGCACAGGTGGAAGTGACAAGGGTCACATGGGAAGGGAACTCTGGGCACTGTGACCATGCTGGGGGTGATCAGACAGGGGGAGGCAGAATCTTCTCAAGGAAATGAAAAGTCGCACACATGGGACTAAGCACAGGAGGAGAAGGGTTAAGTTTGTGATATAGAAAGACCACTGCAGAAGTGAGACCAGATACATCCAGTGCCCAAGGTACACAACAGTTACCCAAGTACAATGAGACCTACAGGCGGTCTGCAGACTCAGGGGGCAGAGATGGAGCTGTGTTTCCGGCACTCTGGACTCATACCATATGCTGGGGCACAGCCTGGGAAAACTGACCGTGGCAGGGCAGACAGATCTGGGTGGAGGCGATGATGATGTGGAAATCACCAGCCTTGGAGGGAGATGAAAGGCAGACAAGTGGGTAGGATGGTCCCAGAGAGGTACAAGGAGCAAGGAAAGGAGAGACGTGCACCAGTATGAAGTGAACAGGTGGATAAGAAAGCATCAGGCAAAAAGCAGAAGAGAGTTTGTATCATTATTCGGATCTGCAAATGGTAAGAAAAAAAAAAGGAGGGGAGTGGGCCCTGGGGGCTATTAAAGGCACTTGTGACTCAGTAATGGGCCTTCTGGGTCCAGACCCAAAGCCCCAGGGCAGAACACTGCAGGAGGACCAGAGAGTGAGAAAATGAGGATGCAAAAGGGCTGGAGATGGGAAGAGAGCCAGTGGAGAGCAGCAGGTGCTCCCACCCTCGAACCCTCGTGACCTCTTACTGTGTGGAAAGACGGGCCACAAACCTCAGGGGGCCACTGCCCAACCAGCTGGGACCTTTCTAAAGCGAGGGTGCACAGATATTTTTTCTCCAGGGGCCAGTGACTTTCAGTTTATCTTTAAAGGTCAAGGATAGTCTACAACAATGTCTTCATCACCAGTAAAGCTGAACATCTGTGCCACACAAGCATCTTAAACTTGGGGATCAGCAAAGGGGCTAGGCCGCAGCTCTTAGCCCAGCAGGCACTGCACTTCCAGCTTCTTCTCTAGAAGAACCAACACCCTAGACAGGGCTGAAGTTCCCTCCACATCCACTCTACCAGTGGATGTGGAGGGAACTAGCAATGCTAGATCCTCAAATTCAGTACCTGAAGTTCATTGACACACTTTCAAAAGATGCCTGTGTCTGTAAGCAATTGACAGCACACTGTGATGCATTCTGAACACTGAATAAATGTTACTGTTGTGTGCATAATAGTCTTTCTGTCAGCATCACTTCTGAGACTGCTGTGTCCTGACACAGGTAACCCAAGGTCACTGTCTCTGGCTCACTCTGGGGCATCTTCCTCTGTGACTACCCCAAGTACCTCTGTGCTCCATTTGTGAGAGATGTAGGAGCCAGTTGTTGAGATGTACAGAATGGTTATAGGGAAAACTTCTGAGATACGAGACTACCTGGGAATTCTCCCAGTGAGCAACATCTGCAGATGCCAGATGAAACCCAAGGAATAATCTTTTAGATGCAGAGAGAACACGAATGCAAGTAAGAAACTCCCCAGGGCCTGAGAACTGAAGATTGTAGAGGAAATGGCAATTTCGCATCATGCCTTTTTTTTTCTTATTAGAAAGGCAGATATACAGAAAGGAGAGACAGAGAGGAAGATCTTCCATCCGATGATTCACTCCCCAAGTGAGCGCAACGGCCAATACTATGCCAATCCGAAGCCAGGAGCCTCTTCCGGGTCTCCCACGCAGGTGCAGGGTCCCAAAGCTTTGGGCTGTCCTCGACTGCTTTCCCGGGCCACAGGCAGAGAGCTGGAAGGGAAGCGGGGCTGCCGGGATAGAGCCGGCGCCCATATGGGATCCTGGGCGTGCAAGGCGAGGACCTTAACCACTTGTGCCACTGCGCCGGGCCCCATCATGCCTTTTACCAGGAATTTCCTAGACAAAAAGTTTAGATCCTTAGAGATGGAATAGGATCTATGGGCTTTCCTGGGGCTCCTGTCCATCCAGAGGCCAAAAGGCAGAGCTGAAACATCAGACCTTGCCTTTGGGAAAAAAGAAAGAAGAAAACTCGAGGGGCCATCACCATAGCAAGCAAGGCTTCCACCTGTGTCCGCATCCCATCCGGATACCGACACGTGTCCTGGTTGTCCACTTCTCATCCAGCTTCCTGCTAATAGCCTGGCAAAGCAGTGGCAACAGAAGAAGACTCAAGGCCTTGGGCCTCTGCACCTACTCAGGAGACCCTGAAGGAGTTCTTAGCTCCCAGCTTCAGATCAGCTCAGCTTACCTCCAACTTTGTGGTATTTGGGCAGTGAACCAGAGAATGGAAGAGCTCTCTGTCTCTTTCTATTCCGTGTCTTTGACTTTCAAATAACATAGATAGATAGAAAGATAGATAGATAGAAAGAAAGAAAGAAAGAAAGAAAGAAAGAAAGAAAGAAAGAAAGAAAGAAAGAAAGAAAGAAAGAAAGAAAGAAAAAAAAAAGCCACAGTAAAGGCCTTGAAACATTCACAGGCATGGGAGAGGCTGCTGACCCAGGTGGGCCCTGGACCTGCCCTTGACTTTGAGTTCTGGGTTTGGTCCACTTCTTGTGGGCAGACACATTGGTCTGTGTGGTTAACTGTCCTGGTGCCTGACATGGCTCTGTCTCTAGCTGCTTCCCCTCACTGGATGGCTGTCCCTTCCCCACCCTGAGGCTAGGAGCAAGCATCCAGATCAGCACCTCCCTGCCTCTCTCTGTGTTTTCCAGATCCTATTTGGTGCCATCAGGCCTGGGGTTTCACCTTTGCAAGGTTGCCAGTTAGGGCATCATGTCATACGTAGCCTAGTGGTGGGACTAGTATCTCCTGGATTGGCAACCTTAATGTACAGCACTAGCCATTGTACTTCACAACCTCCATTCTGACTGGGAGTCAGCCAATACAACTACAGTGCAGACATGCTGGTAGGCAAATTGCAGGATGCCTGGTTCCTTACGCAAGGGTCCCATCCCAGCCACGCTCTGTCCTCTTCAGTTCCTTGGGAATCTGTGCACACAATGGGACTCATTCCCCAGGTGCCTGACTGTGTTTGCTTTCCTCAAGGCTCCGTGGTGCTGGCGGTCACTTTCCATCTGGGCTCCCAGACAGCAGCTCCTGGGATGCTGGACCGGAAGCTGAGCTGCTCTGCGTGCCTTGCCCCACCTGCCTTGTTGGACTCCCGCCCTTCTGCAGCTGCTCCCCCAGTGACTTCCAAAGGCTGCTTTTCCTGCTGCTGGGTTTAACTTCCCTAATCCCCCAGATTCCCTTGCTGCTGATGCCACACCTGCATCAGCTCCTCCCTTCCCTCCCCCCCTCGGTGGCTGGGCGGCCCAGCTTTCACCCAACTCTCCCCAAGCCTGTACCCTGGCAGCCAGCACACTCCCAACACAGACAAACGCAGCACTGTTATTCTCACTCAGAAACCCGAAAGCCCAGCTGGGAATTCTGTGATACACCTAGATCCGGGAAGGTAGGGACTTGTCCCAACCTGAACCTGGACACGTGGTCCCGCAGCGCCTGGAAACTCTCCTGGGTTGCAAGGTGAAGGTTACAGTGCAAACCCCAGAGGTGCCATGGCAATTAGGTCTGCTGCTTGGCTGTGTGACTTTGGGCAAGTTACTAAGGCTCTCTGTATCTCCAGTTTCTCATCTGGAAACCAAGGGTGCAGAGTACCCTTTTGTGAGATTGTTCTGAAAATGACACGGGTTAGGCTGTGAAGGGCTTATTTGGAACACTGCCTGGCATATGATGTTAGCAGTCATAATGAGTCATGCCATGAGTCGTACATTCTGACTCCCTGTGGATATCCTAGTCTGTAAGATAGTCCTGAACGCTGTACATACATTGCTTTTTTCATAAAAGATTGATTTTATTTTTATTTGAAAGGCAAAGCCACTGAGAGGAAAGAGAAATCTTCTACCCACTGGTTTACCTCTTACATGGCTGGGATGACTGAAGCTGAACTGATCTGAAGCCAGGATCCAGGAGCTTCCTGCAGCTCTGCACAAGTGCAGAGTCCCAAGGACTTAGACCATCCTCCACTGCTCTCCCAGGCCATAAGCAGGCAGCTGGATCAGGAGTGGAGAGCAGTGAGAGCTTACTGATAATAACATTGAACTACATAGGATGATTAGAGCAACACGCTGTCATAGAAGACACGTGAAGGTGATTTCTCTTCAGCTTACTGACATTGCCAGCCCCCTGCTCGCACATTCTGGGGCTGTTCAGTAGAAACCAGGTTACCGGACACACGTGCTGCAGTCCCACCACAGTCCATCTGATAATGGAGATGGCTACTGAGGAACAAACAGGCATGGTGCCACCCCAATGGGCACCAGTGTTTTCTTCTCCATCTCAGGGTTCACCGGGAATTCGATGGCTTTTATTCTCCTGGAACACCCCAGGAAAGCTCCCAGCTCTCTCATCTGTTTGATGCTCGTCATTCGGACCACACAGCTTCCTGGTTTCCACTTCACGCTTACTAGTTCTCCCTTCTACAAACCACCCTGGTTTGCAGTAGCGGATGTGTCTCCGGCTCCAGGGACCCAGGAAGTTGCATTTTGCTTTCTGGGAGTGCTAAGCTGACCCTGACAAGGCTGAGGATACAGAAGGCAGCGGGGTGTACCTCCCTTCACTTCATGGACAGGAGGTTTGCTTTAAGTTTAAACTTTTCTCAAAGACATCCAACACTGACCCAAATACCTACGCCCAAAGCTTGTCCAGAACTATGCTCAAAATCTCAGAAAAGCTATTCTCTCCTATTTTTTTCCAACGGTCTTCATCGGGGGTAGGGAGAGCCTATTAAAATAAACTAAATCCCTTGGCCTCAAAATGTTCATGAACAATAGAATTAAAAGATAGCGAGAGGACAAGGCATTGTGTCGCAGTTGCCCACTGGGATGTTCATTTCCCTAGGGAGGGTGGTTAGTGGGAATCCTGCTGCTCTGTGCCCAAACTCCTGTTAGTGCTCACTCCGGCAGCAGGCGACAGCATCCCTGCCTCACCAGGAAGACCCAGAGGGAGTCCCAAGCTCTTGGCTTCAATATGGCTCAGCCCCAGCTGCTGCTGGTGCTTGGGGAGTGAACCCACAGATGGAAATCTGCTCTTTTGTGTATGCTGCTCTGCCTTTTAAGTAAAAATCACATACAAATTTAAAAATACATTTCAGATTTTTTTTTTTTTTATGGGGAGGGAGACAGGTAATGAGACAAGTAATGAGAAGCAACAGACAAGTTCTCTTAATTCACTCTCTGAACACTCTCTCTAGCCTAGACTGGGCTGGGCTGGACTTAAGTCCGGAGCTGGAGGGCAATCCAGGGACCCAACCACTGAAGACACTCCCTGCTGCGTCCCAGGAAGGTACAATGAGAATTCACTGTTATGCTTCAACAGGCGTCCATGTTACACTCAAGGTATGTCTGGGCACATGGTGCTGTGTGAGGAGAGGTCGTCAGAGGTGGGAGAGGGGGCTTGGCTTCACCCTACCCAGCCCTGAGTGCTGGAGGCATTCCAGGAGGCGGCTGCAGAGGCCTAGGACACAGAGTGGCAGGTGCACAGCAGCTAGTCCGCAAGGCTGACAAGGGGGAGAGCCTTGGACCATCCCGTCTTCCTCCCCAGTCCCCTGCATGGCCGGAGCTGCTTTCCTGCCCCCAGTCACTGCACGCCCCAGCCTCCGTCCCAACCCAGCACCCTTCCACCTGAAAGTTTGCCCTCACTTTGCCTCTTGTGCCTGGAATACCTGGGTGTGCCTCACCAGGCACATGCAGAGAAAGAGAGGAGATACAGCTGGGGTAGGTGAGAAGTTGGGCACGGAGTGTTCGCGTTCTGGCAGTTGCCACACCTCAGGGCAGTGCTTGATATCCCCTGCTCCCCCCCACCAGCCAGTCCTACCCCATTCTCAGGAACCTTCCTCCAGCTGGAAATCCTGCCCCACTCTAGCTAGCTAGCAGCGGGTAGTCTCCATGCACGGAAACCAGTCAGCAGGTTTATTTACCCAAGCACAGGGCAACAAAATCTTGGAGGCAACTGACTGCTCTGGCAACTGTCAAGGGCTTAAACTAACTACTGTTCTTAGCCTACAGTCCTGAGTTTTCGTACTTCATGTTTTTCCAGTACCTTTGGCTGGCTATCATCCTATGTGTGTGTCAAACTTTGTAACAATCAATGTAAAGGAAATAGCCTCAAAGTAACAAAGATCAAAGAAAAGCAGATGAAAGCTTTTTGCAGGTCTAAGAAGGAATGCCTGGCAATGCCTGAGCTAATTTCCTGTTTTCATTAAAAAAAAAAAGATTTATTCCTCTAAGTGGGCTTTTCAGTAGTAAATTTCCATACTCCGGTTTTTTTCTAAGAGCTTTTGGACTCAACAGACTTCTCAGCCCACACAATTAAAAGCAAATTTATTATTTCTCGGGTTTGGCTGATGGAAGCAGTCTTTGACAGATACTGCCAAAAAGTTTATGGCTTTCCTAATATGCCCATTAAGGTTGGCAAATTACAGAGATCCACACAACTTGGACAGCCAAGCAGCTTAAACGGAGCGAGAGCAACGGGCGCACCTCATCAGCCGCAAGGAAAACAAAGTTCACCCTGCACCCCAGCGCACCCCCGCCGCGCCTAGACAACTCCGAGGTCCTCTAGCGCGAGCACTGGGGTGCCTAGCTATTCACCCTCCGCGTCAGCGATCTGTAGCCACCGGCGGCACCTTGCAAGCCCAGGGGGCAGGGAGCTGGCAGTCGCTTACCGCGGCCGGCAGGAGTGAGCGTGGCCAGCAGGGCGAGGAGCAGGGCGGCGCGGCGAGATCTCATGTCAGGCAGGGTGCGCTCAGGATGCTGCGCGGGGCCTCGGCCTCCCTGAAACGCGAGTTTCCTGTTTCCTGCCTGTTCAGGTCGGTGCTGACTCGAAGAAGAGGTGCTTGCCTGTTTTTTAGGAAGTGATGTAACTCTACGGGAGCTTGTCAGACCAGCAAGGATTGCAAAAGACAAGTTGCTCTCCCAGCCTCGGTTCAGTAGTAGTGCAGCCTCAGGCCCCCTGGGCAGCGACCCCAGGGGCCACATGCATCCACACCCTGGGTGTGAGAGTTTGCTCAAGCACAGGTGCGTGCTGAGGGCTGTACCCGCTGTCCAGGGAACTCGCTGCCAAGCTGGCAGTGTTCTAAACCAGCGCTGCCTCATGCAAGAGCCAGCAGCCAAAATGTTTAAGGTTTATTTATTTTCTTTGAAAAGCAGAGTTACAGAGGGAGAATCTCAACATCTGCTGCTTTGTTCCTTGCCAAGAGCCTGGAGCTTCTTCTGGGTATCCCGTGTGTGGGCGGCAGGGGCCCAAGCATTTGGGCCATCTTCTGGGCTTGTCACAGGTGCATCCCCAGGAAGCTGGAGGTGGAGCCGCTGGGACGCCAAGTGGCACTCATATGGGATGCTGGCATTGCAGGTGGCCGTTATCACCTGCTGCATCACAATGCCAGCTCTGGGTGTAGTTGCCTCTTGACAAACATGCCAAGAAATGGAGAGAGAGACATCAGACAACCGCTCCCCCCTCCCCCCATCCTTCCGTGCAAATTTGCCTAATCAGCTGTTTCTGGTCAGCAGGCCTTTGGGACCTGCCTATGACACACAGGTGCCTGGACCACCTCTACCCTTGATCTAACTAACAATTCTTCAGTGCACGGCTGCTTTCTAGTATCATTAGCTACTGTGCATCTCCATTCTTATCCACAGCAAATGGGCTGATGATTTAAGTAATGATCAGTTTGCTATTGTACTTATCTAATTCCTACTCATTTATTTATTTCAAAGGCCAGAACAGAGAGAGGTCTGCCATCTGATGGTTCACTCCCCAGATGCCTGCAGCAGAGCCAGGCCAATGCCAGGAGCCTAGAACCCCATCTGTGTCTCCCACATGGGTGGAAGGGGCCCGAGGCCTTGGGCCAGCATGGGCTGCTTTCCCAGGTGCATTAATAAGCAGCTGGATTGGACGCAGAGGAGCTAGGATTCAACCCAGCACTCTGATGTGGGATGCCAGTATCCCAAGTAGCAGCTTAACCCACTGTGCCACAATGCTTGCTCCTGCTAATGGATTTACAGTGTGTGTTTTAAGGTTTAAGCTGGCAGAGTTGGTGCCATAGTTCAACAGGCTATTCTTCCACCTTCATGCACTGGCGGGCCCTATGATTCCTGTCCCATCTGCTCCACTTCCCGTCCAGCTCACTGCCTATGGCCTGGGAAAGCAGCAGATGACCTAAGGCCTTGGGCCACTATACTACATGGATGATCGGGAAGAGACTCCTGGCTCCTGACTTCAGATTGACTCAGCTCCATCCATTGCAGCCATTTAGGGGAGTAAAAGAGCAATTGGAAGATCTTTCTGCCTTTCCTTTTCACTGTAATTCTACCTCTCAAGTAAAAATAAATCTTTTTTTAAAGAAAACATTTTAAGCCAGCAGTTACTCCAATTTGTGATAAAACTGTTGATGTTTTTTGCCCTGTAGGTGACAATACAGAACAATGGGAGAACACACACGTGGTCAAACTTGGGTGATTGATTTGAGACCAGCAGAGCTGTCAATCACACTCCCCTGTGGTGTGAACGGGCCGCTGGCTCAGGGCCTGCTCCTGCTGGCTTTGGGTGGTGATTATTCCTGCAGGAGCACAAGTTTCTCCAGCTGTTACACACACATGCCAGGGAGAAGGCCCAGGGTTTGGGTGTTTCCTTTGGTCCTATTGAAGCTATTGCTGGCTTGTAGTTTGGGCAGGACAAGGCTGAAAACCTTGGGCTCTTCATTTTTTTAACTGAAGCTAATGATAGAGCCTTGCAAAGTTCGGAGACTTTAACAAAAGGTTTTTATTTGTTTATTTGGGTCTGGCATTGGGACATTGTAGGTTAAACTGCAAACTGTGGGGGCTGCTATCCCATATTAATGTCAATTCAAGTTCAAGCTGCTCAACTTTCGTTGTTGTTATTTTTCATTGGAATGCAGACAAAGAGAAGGAAAGCTCTTCCGTCCACTGATTCACTCCCCAAGTGGCCACAACGGCTGTTGCTGAGCTGATCCGAAGCCAGGATCCAGAAGCTTCTTCCGCGTAGATAGATAGATAGATAGATAGACTGACTTCAATATATATTTAGATCTGGAGAGAAACAGATTTTTTCCAGATTGGCTGGCCCACGCCCCCACAACCCCGTGGGCCACCTGCACGCGAAGGAACCCGAATCCTTGAGCCATCACTGTGACCTGCGAGGGTGTGCCTCAGCAGGAAGGTGGAGCCACAAGCAGAGCCAGGGTGCAAAGCCAGCACTCCGGGATGGGACGGTGGGCCTCCTAAGCAGGGTGCTCCCCACTGCGCCCACCTGGGCCCATGTCGAGGGAGGCTTTGGCTGGCTGAGCCCCGCGGCCCAACAGCTCCCCCTAGTGCCGACAAGCGTGCACCGTCTTGCTTCTGAGCTGCAGAAGCCTCCCACAGCTTTTGTAGTTGACATTTAATTGTTTTTTCCTGCTGAGCAAGCATTCCCAATTCTTTGGGTGAAGAAACCCTTCATCCTAGCAAAAAGCTTCTACAGGGTTCTTCGCAAAGTTCATGAAAACTATTACTAAAAGATAAGTTTATTTTGGTGAAAAAACAATTCATGTGGTTATTTTTTTCATAATACACATTTTTATGAACTTTTACATGACTCCTTATCTGCCTTTTTTGGAGCTGACCCTCTAACTACCCTCTGGCTGGAAGACACAGCATGGTTGACCAGTCATGCTTTATTTCCTGGAAAAATTAGTTTGAAGTGGTCACATGTCCGTCAGATTAGACAGATGTACAAAACACTCTGAGTCCGCGGGATTCCCGCCCCACCACGCCCAAGTCCCGCACCCTCTGTTACCCAAGCCCCTCGACGTGACAAAGCTGATCTTTGGAAGAGGAGATGACCGTGCTAGCGCCTCGGGGCATCTCTGTAGCAGCTGATACCACTGAGAGTTTGCATGGCGAGGAAAGGGCCTCTGACTTTTGGGTCTTCCAATTTCAGCTGCCTGGTGCTTTGGCAGCTAGCCATCTGGCCTCTGATGAATTCTCATACTCTCATGGCAGGAGTCAGGGCCTCAGTCGCCACTGGGAGGCACGTGGAAGGACATATGAGAGAAGGGTAGGCTGTACAATAACGCTGGTGGACCCTGGGTGTGGGTGATCTTGGTTTCTGCTGTGGACTTCCAGGCACCAGGTAGGGAGGGCATGGTGCCCAGGAAATGCCCAGAGAGAAAACTTGCCTACCCAATCCTCCCCCTTCCACCCCCTACCGAATGAAGTACTGGCCCTCACTCCAGATTGGTACTCTCCAGAGCCCAAGTCCAACTCTGCATGAGTAACCACCTGGGAAGGGGTTTTCATGCCTGATCAAATCTGAGAACTGCTGGTGGTTGGTTTTTAGCTCCTGGTGGAGGGGCAGGGATGCACCTTTCCTCCACTAGCATACGGTTAAGTAGCACCTCATGGTTTCCCTTTTTGCCCTGGCTGCCAGGCAGCCCAGTGCTGAGCAGAAAGCCAGACTGAAGAAATTTGGCGCACCCCAATTTTGTTCAGCATTTCTAATATTTGGAAGGGTCCCCCTCCCTTCTGCGGGCCTCCCTCCAGGAGCTTCAGACCCTATCAAGATCTGTTTGCTTCTGTTCTCTGGCTCTGCACCCAACTGACCCAATCTTGCTCATCAGGGGCCTCCCACGCCTGTTACAAAGGAACTGAACTTCCTTCCACTGCTGTTCCGTTTTTGATCAAATGGTGCCTTCATGCTTTTTTATTCGCCCTTCAAACACATCTGTGAGTAATATTGTTAAGCACGCAGGGGCTATCCAGAGTGAAGGATGCTGACAAGTGCCTGAGGGCTTTGTCTTTTGTCTCTCTGTTTCATTTGACCTCTCAGAATCACAGTTGATGGTGACCTGGCCAGATAAATCCTCAACACCAAGCAAACTAAAATATACAAAAAGCACACAGGTTTGGGAACTTAGCAACTTACAAAAGAATTCAGAAGTATGATGGAAGAAACAAGGTTTGTATATGGACAGTACCATAAGTGAGCAAAGCTTGAGACCACATTTGTCTGAAAGTGGAAGTAACAGCATGAGTCGAGGGATGAATATTTAGCCAAGTAGTTGGCATTCTTCCAGCCTGCCTGGGCGGTGCGCCTGGGTTCAAACTCCAGCTCCACTTCCAGTTCCAGCTTCCTGCTAATGCAAACTTCAGGGGAGCCCCAGGTTATATTCCCTGGACCAAGCTCCCCACTCTGGCTGCTGTGCACCACTGGGGAGTGAATCAGCAGGTGAGTGTTCTATCCGACTCGCACTCCGCCCCATACCTTACTTCTCCAAAAAAAAAACAGGTATGAATTTATCTTGGTGCATAAACATTTCACAGATCCTAGAACTCTACCCAGGCTGCCCTAATGGGTGCTAAGGAACCATCGACTGGAGCCACCCCTGCTGCCTCCCAAGAGACAATCAGCAGGAAGCCCAATCAGAAGCAGAATTCTGAGCCACATTCTGGAATGGCCTGCACGCATCTCAACTGCTATTTAGCCACTGCGTGATATTCACCCTTGAAGCATTTTTTTTTTTCATAACAGGTGAAACTATGCATAAGAATGCATGAATTTAGTTGACTTTGGTATCAAACTCAATACTTTTTTAATTCCATTTCCCATCGGTTCACTTACCAAATGGCCACAATGGCTGAAACTGAGTCAATCCAAAGCCAGGAGCCAGGAACCTCCCCCAGATTTTCCATGTGGGTTCAGGCCACAGGCAGGGATCTGGAAGGGAAGTGGAATAGCCAGGACATGAGCCAGCACCTATATAGATCCTGGTGCTTACAAAGGGAGGATTATCCAGTTGAGCCATCACACTGGGCTCTTGCATTTCTAGTCTGGGAGAAGGTGACTTGCACCTGGATGAGATCAGAAAGGTGGAGTCCAGGTGGGAGCATTCTAGATCTGCCAGAGCTGCAGCTCTGTGACCACAGAGAT